AAAGCACCAAAAACGTAACTGATCAGGAAATCATGTTTTGGCCTTATCTGAAAATACCTTCTGAGTGAAGACTTTTAGGAGACTTAGAGAAAATCCCCAGTTTCTAAAACAAGAGTATGCTAGATGCAGATCTATTCAGCATAAGACAAGTCTGATGGCAGGATTTCAGGGGGAATTGAAGTGAAAGAGAAAGATTAAGAACCTCTGGTATCAGGTGGTAGCTTACTGAGGTTTTTCAGATCATACTTTTGAGCTGAGACATCCTTTACTGGATACAGACTTAAGTCAATAGTCTTCTACATAAACTTAACAGGTTCTGCAGCTGATTCTTTAGACTCCTTTAGTATTTACAGCACATGAGCTTTCTCTAAGAGTGAGATATATGTGTGAATATATATATATTTATAAAAAAACCCATCCATACAAGGGTAATGTGTTAAAAACCCACATGGATGTGGCACCTGAGGACATTTTATTAGTGAACACAGCAGTGCTGGGGTAATGGTTGGACTGGATGGTCCAACTAGAGGTCTTTTCCAACTTCAATGATTCCATGATTCTGTATTTTGTTAAGATCCACTGTGCTAGTTAGAGTACAAGTACGGTGTATGTTACTCTAAATAACAGTATTTTGCAGATACAAAGAAGAAAACATTAAAGAAAAGGAAAAAAGTCTGAAAAAATACTCTTTGCCACAGTATACACAAAACTGGGGCTATTTGTGTTTTGTCCTTATACTTCTGCTTGATGATAGATGTACATTCCAGAGAAATCATTTGGGTAAATGTGGTCAGACATAACTCTGTGCCTCCTAAGTTTAAGAGTTCACACATGAAATGAACAGAGACCAAAGATTTTAAGTCTTAGTTCATCTTTCTGCATTTATGGGAGAGAGTGCTTCAGCTTCTTTTCTGGGAACCACTTTTTCTGGTTTTATTCCAAAACAGAATACTTTTAAACTAAACACACAGACAAAAAAGAAGTTCAGAATTTTTCGGTTATGCTGTTACCAGCTTAATACTACTCTGTAGTTAACTTTTCAGGAAAAAAAGTAAAGCATAAGCATTTTTGAAAAATATAAAGTTAAATATTTGCTCCTAAAATTCTTATAAAGAAAAATATAAATTATTTTAAAAATAAACAATATTTTGGGAATCCTTAAATTTTGCCTTTCCACTTCTATATATGTAAAATGGTTTCATTTTCATGACATTTTCATTAGGCAATTTCTAACAAAGCAGTTCCATAGTGATGATTCCAACTGCCATCTGAAAATGTATGAAATGAGCTTCTCCACAGAAGAAACTATTCAAAGCCTACCCAAAATTTATCATGACATCACCCTGGAGAAAAGATGAACTGTAAGGAGAATCAGTTTTCAGGGCTTTCTGTGTAGAGGTGACACTCCTGTGCAGTGCTTTATTGGAACAGTTTTGCTAGTGAGTTAGAGCTTTCATTAGCAAAAAAAAAGAAAAGAGGAGAGCAGGAATATTTCTTTCACTTTGCCTTTCAAGCTCTCTGTTTGTTGCTTTGCCTGTTAAAGACTCACTTAGTTTCAAGCTCCAACAGAGATTTCTCATTAGCCCGAGCATCAGAACACTACACTGGTGTAACTTCCATATCATTAAATCTTTGATGCATCTGTCAAGACTACCGACACCACCTGTCATAGCTGTGAAGATATTCATCCATGGGAAATTTGAATAGCACTGTGACTTTCTATCATACAGGTCCTTTTACAGCCATCACTTTTGGCTGCCATCAAAGATAGGTCAAATGGAGTGCTGGATGTGTAACCTCTTGGCCTATTACATTTACTTGAAACTCAAATCCAGGTTAAACTCTAGTCTTGAACATCAAAATACCTGAGTCTATTTGTGCTCACTGCACATCCAAGGGAAATGTCTTCAAATTTAAACTACTAAACTAGCAGTTGGGTGGACTGTGATTTATTCTTGTACTTTATTGTCCTGATGTAAATCTTCAACAGCAAGTTACTTGATTCTTTTCTATGTAAGATTCACCACGGGTGTTGAGGTGCATAAACCAGTTAATCAATATTTTTTGCATAGTTGTAATACCTAAATTAGGCGCAAACTTCTCTACATTTTTTTTCACTGTTGGGTTTTCAAACTCATAGAGGAGTAGAATTTTCTTTCTAATATTAAGTTGTATGTGTTGATTTGATATTGATTCTGAGATAGCCTCAGAGGCAGCATAATAGTGGCACAAATTATTAATTTCTTCATCACTAGACTACCAGACTATTTTCACAATATGAAAGATCAGATAACATAGGAAAGAACTGCACAACAACTAAAATTTACAGGATATCCACCTTTGTCTGGTTGTTATTTGGAAAAATTCTGTGGTTTGAAAAATCATGTTAGTTGCAAACTGGAAAACTAGAGCTAAGGTAGCATATAGCCCTGAAATAAAGGGAGAAATCCACAACTTGCAGCATTTGCAAAACCACTGTTTGCCTTACTCTGACACATAATGTAGAAAAACATGAACCAAAACAAGATGTAACAACCTTTGAGAGAAGCAAGATGGCACAAGAAAGGTGGTGTTGTGAAGAAATAGTATCTATCTCAGAGTCTGAGCCTGTGTCCTGCTAGAGGCTACCATGGGTACAGTCCCAAAGACTCCACTGTACATGGAAGCAGCATCCACTTTATGCACACAAGTTTTTAATAAATTATAGCCATGCATTTACATGTTCTGTATTCATAGTTAGGGTGGAGCTGAATTTTGAAGACACCTAAACACTCCTATGATTATTTTGGTACCTTGCTTGGTCTTTACCCAGTGACTGATGTGCCCAGTTTTTTTCTAAAATTATAACCCACCAAATAAACAACTCCGATTAAAAAAAATAAATACTACATGGACACAAAAATCTTCTTCATACTGCAAAAGGGTATTTCCCACATCCTTCCCCCAGGGGTGCATCTGCCTACAGGGGCATAGAATTGATTTTCCTTCACAGAGAATCAATTGTGAACCAGTTGTATTTTTTCCTTATGCTCCAAATTTCACAGCTTCAAGGATGAATCTACTGTAGATTTAGAATCTTGTTGAGTACCTTATTAGGTAATTAGACTAACTCTACTGCATGTAGACTCCTACATGGAGGAGATAAATGGGTGCCACATTAAGGGTGCTGTTCCACTTCTGGTTCCTATTCTGCCTCAGAGTTCATTTGAATATCCTTGCATGGCACTGCATTGTGCCAGGCAAACATTATCTCCACGATTAAGGACTGAATCCATCAAGGTGCTTAATCACCTCCCTACCAACAAGTCTAAACTGAGATTGTCAGAAGCCTTAAGGAACTGCCTCAAATCCGTAGGCACCAAAACTTCTGGCTATAAAATCCACTATGTTTCTGTCACTCAGAGCTATTGTCATCATGCTGATGACAGGAAAGGTGTCTTTACCTTTGAAGAACACACAGAAGGAGGAAATGTCCGATATACATCCCTCAAATCCCTCCTTTCACTGATTTGCTACTGGGAAATGAATATCAAGTTTCTAAGAAAGTGTGTTAACAACTAGATTTTTATAAGATGGCTCTTTATTTCCTGTCCCTAATGAAGCAGCATGACTTTCTATATAATAAATACTCATCATCAAAGCATTACAATTAAAATTAATATCACAGATGATTAAAATGTCAGAAACTATCAATGTTATAATATTGAACACTCAGTTGCCTGTTGGAAACAAAGAAAACGTGATAAAGTGAAAATTGCAATAAATGATTATTTTTTTTATTTTTCATTTGGCATAAGAAAAGTAGAAGTAGAAACTTCCTTTAAAAAAATATTAGGAGGAGACTGGGAATAGGCTTTATGAAAAGATTATCATAATGTTACATTTTATTTAAACAGAAGAGAGCTCATCTCCTGGGAAAGAGCAGTGACTAACCTCTCAAGAGTTTGATCCTTAGGATCAGTGATCAAAGTTTTACTCATCTCAGGCTCTACTTTTCTGTTTGAACTAAGTACCAGCAGTTACCAGTGTACTCAAGTGTCTTCTCTTTTTTATCTTGTAAATGTTCCTATAGATTGCTTTATGGCCCTCAGAGTTGGACCTCTTATTTTTGAAGTCTGTGGCAGTTCTTCCGTTGATTTTTAAACATTTTTTGTTTGGATCTTTAGGAAATATCCTGATAGACAAAGTAGATATAGTTTTAAATGAATCTGTGTAAAAATCCTTCTTATGGCATATGTTATCAATAGAATATGAACAATCTCCCTGCCCATCCTGTCCTGTCCTTCACTCATCCCTTTAGTTAAAACCCATTTTCTTTTAGTTTTCCAGTACTGTTCAGCAGGAGGATGCTTTCACTTATCCATTCGGTGGACTGCTCCAGCTGCCACGACAGATGCTCTGGTTAATTACAGGCCCCAGCTAAATTTTTTTAAGACTTTTGGATGATTTATCAGTGGAGGGGATCAATGAATTCTTTGATGAATCTTAACATTTGTTATAAATTTTCTCTTGTAAGTTTCTACTTCTTTTCCAATAGTAAATATATTGTGACAGTGGGTTGTTTGGGAATTTTAACATTGGCCACAATTTCTAGGCTTAGATGGGCAGAATTATTATCTTGCATCATAGTCCACCACCTGTAGCATCCTGTTGCTATGAAAGACCACATGAGATCACAGTGTTGCAAAAGAAATCTCTTCATATGCTTCTTTAAAGCTGGAAACTGTATAGAACTGTATAAGGCTTGTACTGAACTAAGTGGATTTATAGTGATATTCTCTACAGGGTGGAGGTGGGACTGGAAGAAAGCTCATCTCTGAAAGGTTACAAGGAGTTACAGAGGTCACGTGGGCAGGCTCAGCTGTTCTCAGACTATTGAGGAAAATTTTAATCTCTTTCCCTCCTTTCCACTTTGGCAGTTGATAAAAAGCATAAAATTCAAGGTTTGTGTTAGGTTTTAATAGTTTTTTTTTTCCACTTATTTCCTAGTTTTTAGTATAAAAATAATCGGCTTTGTGGAGTTGGTCTATTTCATTTTTCCACTTATCTTGAATGTCTCCTCTCCATACAGGATGCTCTGGAGGAATGTGGAAAACCCCTTGCAACTGCCATCTAAACATCAGGTTTCCCACAGAGGTTTTACCTGCAAGTGTAACAAGTCCTTTCTTTTGCCTGAATAATTGGGTGACTACCCAGAAAGAAAAAGAATGAATTCTCCAACTCCTGTTGGATCTTCCTGAAAATGTAAGTTTCTGTACCAGACTGAAAGCAAAGGCTTCTGCATAAAACTTTAATATACCAAAAATGTTACTACCTATATGGGCTGCATATCTGCACATCAAAGTTCTACTTTTCCCCTCCAAAAAGGTCATACCACACGGATCATATTTTGTGCTTTTTTAAGAATTCAGGATTGATCTGTCAGCTTTAGAGAAACTTTGGGAGATATTGGATAAGTGGTAAATACATAGTCAAAAAGAATCCATCCAAATTTTTGCAAATTATTTTTCAACCACTCTATAACAAATTTAAGAACGAAATTGAAAATCCAAGTTGGAACTCTTACTGTTCCTTAGGAAGAAAGCAGAAGGAAATTCAAGCTACATGCTCCCACAAGAACAAGATCCTAGGAGCACCCCCAGTAGAAGAACCTCGTGGTCGCTTCTATCTGAATCTGTGGGAAAATTATCTCCTCTTCCTAAAGTTGGCAACTGGTTTAGCCAAGGGTGGGTAAGAGAATTGCTAGAGTCGGTATTTGTAAAACCTGACTAGATAAGTTTACAGGTACCCTGTGTTCTGTATTCTTTGTCAGTCAGGGACCTACCCACAGTGACTCCAAGAAGAGTATAAATCCCACCAAGAGAGTGGATACAGCAACCTCACAAGTGAGTTTATTTAACCTCAATGCATGTTTCTCTTCTAGTTGTTTCAACTCTCTAAAAAACCTCATGCTTCCTTTTTCACACAAAAAGCTAATAAGTTTATTTATCTATGTATTTATTTGTTAAATTTGGTCTATTTTTGTTTGAAAGTTCCTTGAACTTTTCCCCATTTTTGCTGAGAGCAAGGGAGAATTTCCCTTTTTTTTTTTTTTTTCACCCATGCAAGTGAAACAAAAGCTGAGACAGAAGATTCTTTGGATATTCTGGAGGATTTCCTGTGTGTCCCACACACAAAATGAGTGCATTTTGAGATGGGTCATGCTGACAGTGGATGCTCAGACATGGGAATGTTCTCCACAAACAAGACCCAAGAGGGAGGAAAGGTCTGTGCAGGGATCAAACACTGGACTAGACTGGCTGCCAGAAGTTCCATGACTACTGCTGCTGTGGGGTCTTCCCAGGGGCAATGCAGGGAGATGGCTGGTACAAAGGATGAGGCACCTCTACCTACAGAGCTACAGAGCAGTCTGGTTCAACAGTGACAAATCTTGGCTCGGTACTAAGTGACAGTGTAGAGGAGAGGAACACTATGGGCCATATGGCAAACATTTCTGATTGATAATTGGTGTTTATACAATTCATGCTGCCTCTCTGGAGACAAGACTAGAAAGATGACAGGTCCCAAAGGAATAGAAGTTTGGATTTCTGACTCATCAGTCAGCCTACTTCTTTATTAAGAATGGGATCTTATTCAACACAAGTGTACAAAATACCAGAGATGCAATAAATAATTGGCTAAGTCAACGAAGCTACATTAATGGTTGTGAGCATGGATACAGATAATTACTTTGAGGACTGAAAAAGTGTATGTATTGCAAAAGGTTTTCTTCCTTGAGCATTCAAATGATGTGATATTTGATCCTGTATGTTTTTTTTTAAAATTTAGAATGTCTTCACTCATTTCCCTTTCTCTAAAGGGAATGTCTTCCTTCTTTTAATATGTGCATCTTTGTTACTTAACTAATATTACTGAAATGGATGATGTATAATTTATGTAAAGAATGATCCCCATTCAGCACTTAGAGAAGCAAGAAAGTTATATGCAATCACCAGCTTTGCTTTTTGATAAGCCGTGCAATGAGCATCTGTGCATTAACCCAGCTTCTGTAGGTGTGTTGCTTCCAAAGCAAGGGAAAATGACTAAAAAGGCAACCCCACTGACCTTTGTCTCTGGGTTATCTTTTGTAGCCTTTTCTCTCCCATCACTTAGTGTTTCAGTATGATTGTCTGAAACTGGATGGATCTGAGCTGCCGAAACCACCAGCGAGCTTACATTGAGAACAAGTAGTTGTACTGTCTACCTCGGCCTACACACTGACTCATTAATATGTTTTTTGAAGTTCTGGCAGCTCTGTCGAGAAGTCTGTGAAGGAATCTTCAAAAAGGAAACTACAGGAGATAACCACTGAGAGAATGTGCAAAGCAAGTATGTGTTTGGCAGAGTGGCAGAAACTATAGAACAGTTTCTTGCTAATTGCTCAGATAGCATAATGTAATTCAGGAAACAACACTGGACTAAAATACTATAAAATAAAAAGCATAAAATAAAAAGGGAAATAATTTCTGTGTGAAAAAAAAGTGATTTTGGCATCCATAACAGTTTCGTAAACATAACATGTTCTGTTTATGTCTTGTGTTAAAGCAAGATGGAAGGAGCAAAGACTAAGCTTTGAAACATGCAGGAAGTAGATAAGACTTTTGTATCGTGCATACAGTGTTTTGTTGCATTGATTTGGACTGAATATATGGCCTTCAAAGTTGTTGACAGGACCAACACTAAATAATCAAATAAGGTTCAAATTTTAGTTACAGAAGACTTGATCTCTTTAGTTTCATGAAATAAAATTACCATTACAGGTATTTTAGGCAAAGTTATCTATACAAAAGAGACAAAGCATTTGTAATATAGCATAGTAGCTAAGCCTTGTAATAACTCTCCTTATTCCCATTCCCTTCAAAAGCAGAGAATATTCGAAGGAAAAATCCTTTGACTGACAGGATTTCAGATGGCTTATGGAAAAGAGGAATATATTCAAGTTTGTCTACTTTATTGATGTTAGAGTCCTGAAGGCAGAGTGGGAATAACAAATGCAAAACCTGTAGAAAAGAATAACCGATACTGTGAAGAAAATACCAGCTTCTGGTTCTCAGTTTAACTTTTCAGTCTGACCTCCTGAAAATATAATCAGAATAGCAGAATAGCATAGGTTCTTGCTCACTGCTCTTATACCTAGCGAATTCCATACCTTTGTGAGGTTATTTAAAGACCTCATTATCACTGGGTCTTGTTATTCATAGAATAATGCGCGTAACCAAAGTGTAATAGATCACTAAGTCAAACTTAGGCTGAGAACCAGCTGAGAACCAGCTAAGTGTTGTAGAGGTTCTTCAGGACTAAAGTCACCAAAAGAGGTGACTGCTCTCTGAATTGTTCTCTACATTTCAGTACCAACAGATTTAATATGTAAAATGGTATGACAGAGGCCTGAAGATGTCACAGTGGAGTTTAGCATCTATGAGAAGGATGCTAGAAATCACTTTTTACTTCACCCCTTCCCTAGTCATTATTGACAAATCAAAAGGCAATGAGTAAAATAGCCTACTCTCTATTTTTCCCATTAATTACAATTGATTTCTGATATAACAATTTTGGTACATACATTTCTAATCTTAGTCTCTTTTGTTTACCATATGTCATTTCAGTACAGTCCTTGGACTGTAGAACTGCTTCAGAAACATTTATGTTTGATTTGCTTAACTCCTTGTTTCTATCTTTAACCTCTCATGATTTTTGTAAACATTTTTGTGTATCACAGTGTTTTGTGTTTTTGTTGCTTTAGACAGTATGTGTTAGATTCCATGTGCTAGCCATCTATCCTTTTGGATCAGCATGATTTTCCCTGATGTTATTCATTATATGTGTCTATACAACTTATTTTAAACAAGATGGGATGCATGTAATTTACATAATCAACTCAGTGTACTAATTGGAGGAGCCACTATTTTCAATATCCTAGAGAAACGATACCAGTCTAACACAAGGATATTGAAAGCATCTACTTCTCTAATTAGTGGACAAGGGGTTTATCTTCTTCATTCAAAATGTTACTGTGTCGAAGTGTTTTACCATACCAAAGATTAGTGGCATTTTGATCTAGGAAGGTGAAAAATAAAATGCCTCAATTAGTATTGCACAAAAGCTGCCCCTTATGCTTTACAGAGTAAACAAGACACCATACTTAATTGCCCTCTCAAAGAATATTATCACATACAGGTCATATATGAAGCTGCAGAATATAGTCCTAATAAAAAAATAATCCATATATGAATGTTTTTGGTGAAGTTATTTAGAAGAAATAGTTTAAAAGTAGCCTTTTCAGAGTTCTGTGATAGTGAACAGAAGACATAAGAAATGGTGAAGTTACCATTTCTGTTGTTTCAGGCACATTTTGGAAATATTTCCAATATTAATTTCTTTGTCAGGAAATTTTGGCCATTAGTTCTTGCTGATCTTTTATCTCTGTACAAAGAAATTCATACTCAATGCTTCCTCCCTCAGAAAACACATAACATACCATAATTAGGCCACTGCAACATTATTACTAATTTTTTTTAAATCAGGCTTTTAAAAACATTGACTACAAGATATTTTATCTAGACTTCAGATTTTTTTTATTATTTATTTATTTTTTTATTTTCTGCTTCCTCACCAAGATTTGCAGTGTTCTTCAAAACTTTTTGACAGCAAAACTCTACTCAGGACTCCGCTATAAGTTTCAGCAAAGTCATGTGCAAGGAAAGCCCCACCACAGTTTTGGTCATTAGTCCCCAAATTATGCACTGAGAAACACATAATTTGTTCTTAACTTAATATTTCACATAGAATTCAGACGATGAATAAATCAGCTGAAAAACAAAGACCTTTATGGTCATCTGTAAACAAGAAGAAGAAAGATAGTTGTAGTCATCTAAGTATCTTAATGAACTTCCTTCCCTTAACAAATAAAAATATGTTTTTTACCTTACCAGCTCAGACAAAATACTTGATGTGGGATGGATCTAGAGACTGCTACTGGAATACAATGCTTTTCACCTTGAAGTTGCCAGTTTTAACTTTTGTTCCAATGCATAAGAGCGGTTTTCCTCTGCTGTGAGTTTGCATTTCACTTCCAGGCCAGTAAAAGTGTGGTTTTTCTGCACTCAAAAAGTGTTTATGCTTCTCTTTCAAGCATACTGCATGGGGCCATGATCAGAGCCTCGCTGGGACACCCCAACCTCACTGCATGGTGGGACAGGGAGAAG